GGCCATGGCTCGTGGTCTCTCAGGTTTGGGTGTTCGGACAAAATAGTGACTTTCTGTTTTATAAGAAACACAACATGAATTGACTTTCTGGGTCTTGGGAGTTAGGAAGACTCAGCAGTCGTGATCTGTCATGAGGATGGTTTCCAATGACTTGGAATTCTTGAAAAATGGATTTTCCTAGGAAGAAGCGTACCTGCTGAGAAAGCTTGGCTTGAAAAGGCTGTTTTGTTGTTGTTGTTTTTGTACTTAGGTCAAGGATGCCTATGTACCAGGCAGGGGAGGGGAGCAAGGCCTTCGCAGTGTTTAAAATCAGTCCTTTTCTGGGTGATAGGCTTTCAGTGGGGCCTCGTTTTCCAGAAGAGGCCAGTTTCATCTCCGTTTAGCAGTCTGTTTAGGCCCCATGATGGCCCCCGCCTCCCCATCTTGCCGGAGCCCGTGACCAATGCCATCTGTTGGGGGTGGGTAGAGTTGGCACGGGGTTCATTCCAACTTCGTGATGTGTGAGAGTGGTACACACCGAAAGGCTCTGGAGAGAGGAGCTTCTGGACCTAGAAAGGTGATTCCCAAAGCATACGGGGCACATTGCCCATGACCTGCGGCATTTCTGCCTGGTGCTCTTTCCAGATGATTCGATGACATGTGACACATTGCCAGTGTTTCCTGGGAAGTGGGTGAGAACTTTCGAACATGAGAACCTTTTCCAGTCAGAATTGCTCAGGGCTTTTCAAACTTCCATTTTGGAAAGGACGGATAGTTATTTCGGTGAGATTGTGGTCTAGTGGTTAGACCTTGTGACTGGGAGTCATGGCTGGAGAGCTCAGATTCTTTTCCAAGCTCTTCTCCCCAAACTGGAGTCTGCCAGTGACGATTCAATCCAAAATGTCGCTTTTGGGCCACCGAATAATCGCGTTCGGCTGTCTGGATTTTAGGCCCAGTGAAGGAATGTTTCCTGTCTGACACGAAATCAGATCTTTGCACATTCATTCCCTAAGCCACGGGTAGCAAACTATGGCTCAGGGCCGAAGCTGTCCTGCCACCTCTTTTTGTGTGTGGCCTTTGAGCTATAAAAGTGGTTTTTATTATTTTTAAATGGTTGAAAAAAACCAAGAGAAGAATATTTCCTGACACAAGATAGTCCTATGGAATCCATCTATCACTATTTATAATAAAGTTTTACTGGAACATGACCATGACTTAGTAGGTACACCTATTGCCCATGACTGCTTCTGTGTTACCACGGCCGAGCCGTTAGGACCAAGACGGTGTGGGTTGCAGAGCCTAAGATGTGTACTCTGGGCCTTTACAGAAAAAGTTTGCCAACCCTGTCCTGAACAAGTAAGGGGATGGACTCCCCTTGCCTGTCCGTCTGTGAGGTGGACTGACTGACAGGAAGTACTGCCAAGCTGCTTTGGTATTTTATCAGCGATGTGGAGTTTCCTGGGAACTTTGTCATCAGCATCATCATTGGCCTTTGAGTTGTCCTATTTATTTAGAATATTAACTTTTGTACCGAGGCCTCAGCAGCCATCAGATAGATGCAGGTTCTCCAAGCAGCCCCTCCTCGCCCTCCTAGCTACTGAATGAAGCTGGACCCACAAGGATGGGGGTGCCTTTGTTGGGAGCAGGTTCCCTCAGGCCCACTTGTACCTGGATCCTGGAGGGGTCTTCTCGTTCGGAAGATCCCTCCGTCTTTGCCTTTCCTCGTCCATTTTTTTTTTTTTAATTGGGGGAGGAGGGGGAGGAGAAGTTTGAGTTGCATTACCTTTTTCTTTTTTTGCTGACAATTTAACAGGCCTTTAAAGCTCCTTGATTCCATTCAGACCATTGATTTTGTATATATTTCGAGACTTTGTCCACAGGTCTGAAGCTTAACTTAAGCTCCCTGAGACATATCATAAAATATGATTTGGGGAAAAACCCTAATGGGCCATGAGCAGAACATTAGTATTAAACAAAGGATGAAACACTTAAGCCAAGATGGCCTTATATATTTATTATTATTATTTTTTGCAAAATGCAAGTTGAGCAGGACTCCATTTCAACAGTTTTCAATGCAGGAATTCCCACGGCCCCCGTTTGATTGCAGTTTGCTGAAAAGTTTAATGTTTTTGTAGGTAATTCATAATTTCCACGCTGAGCGGCCTGAAAGGAAGGGAGCTGGAGCCTAGTGTTGTTTTTATAGTGGGATGGTGGGAACTTTTTTTTTTTCTTCCCCAAAAGGATATAAAACCGAAGTTGGACCAGGGGGAAAATGTGGCATGGCGTTCCAGCCCTTTCATAAATCTGAGATGCCTCCTCCTTCGGGTCTTCCTTGAGGACCCAACAGAATAGAATTTCCTGTTGCTTAGTGTCTCCAGGAAGGAAAAGATTTTCCTCGAGGCTATAATCGTACCTAATTTCCTTTTTCTTGCCTTTATTTATTTATTTTCCTTATTAATAAGGACCAATTGTAGAAGATGAAGGAACCTGGGAAACCCATCACTTTTGGAGGAGGTTAATAACTTCCTTTGAAAAATCCTGACATAATACTTATTTCCCCAGAAGGAACCTCGTCAGCCTGAATGCCAGTTATTTCCAAGGGACGGGCACAGATTTGCAGGGGCCCAGCCATTCTGTGGGATCGAGTTTCACTGGGATGGAGAGTTTGAGGCTGTCACCGTGGAGTCCTTGTAAGCCAGCACGATTGGGGCTGTCTTCCTCCACCATCTGGATTTGGTTAGCTCTCTCTGGGCAGTGGGGCCGAGTCTCATTTCCTCCAGCCAGTAATGTTATATAGGCAGTGATCCTGGGCTGCCCTAACATAATTGAAAATTATGTGTATTGTAGGCTTGGAGCGCTGAAATGTAGGCTCATAAAAATAGTGGTGCAGGTAGCCTGCGGAGATTGGATATGGCACACAATGAAGCTTTTATGTAAAATAAGAATTATAAGACTCTGCGTTAATATTGCATTATGGGTATGACAGTTCTCTGGTGGGGTCCTCAGGGCAGGTCTGTCACCTTAAACAAAGCCTAAATTTCTGAATTCTATGGAGCCGGGATTTGGATGCGATCAAATCTGTTTTGCAGATGGCCAGAGATGGAAACCTGTCTGTTAATCTAACCCTGCCCACTGTGGGTAGCATGAGGTATAGGTGGGTGGCACTCAGCTTGGCATTTTTCCTCATAGGATTTTATGAGAGGAGAGATGAGTATTGGCAGGTGTCCATTTTGATTGGCCTCAAGGAAATGATGCTATTGAGTGGTTTTGAGCAATGAGGCTCATCTATTTATGTGGCAGGTGAGAATGGGAAGCAGTCAGGGTGAGATGGGGCGTTACAGGTTCCCATGGCCCACTGGCTTGAGTTACAGGCTGAGGGAGACCATGGAAACATTTATTACAGTGGCTCTCAACTTGGGATGCTACCGTCGACAAAGAAGATACTTGGAAATGACTTGATTATATGGCTGACTGAGGCAGGGAGTGGGGTGCCTGCTGGTATTTACTGTCTGGGAGTCCAGAATCCTTAAGTGCTGGGGCAGCCCCGCCCTCATCCCCATCCCAGATAGAACAACCCCCTCAGTTGACTGATGAAAAGCTAGAGGTCCACAGAAGCAAAGGGATTTGATGCAAGGTCTTGTGGTGAGTCACCAGAACCAGTAACCAGGTTCCCTCACACAAGAGCCTTCTGGGTAACAGAAGGTTGAGGTTGTAGAGGTGCTCTTGCCTTGTCCAGATCTAGGTTGGGAAAATGGCTGTGCACTTTGGCAGGTAGCTTGTGGGCCAGGGTCTTCTAGTTTTAGGCGTAACTGTGTTTGGTTTTAATTCGCTGGACAGTTGTATCTTTAAGGAACCTTGTGTGTGGCTTTTGCCCTTCTATTTCACATGAGATTTGAGCCAACCCTTCCTTCTTCCTGGACTGCCCTTGGCTGTCCTTTTTCTTTCTGTTGAAATCTTTCTTGACTTAACAAGACCTACTCTGTGCAGCCTTCCCCAGTCTCTACTCAAAAATCCTGTCTTTCTTCTTGGCATTCCCTAGGCACAATTCCCTGAGTCTCTGCCATTTCCACTACCTTCTATCTAGACTTAATCTGAGTGTGAGTTGGTTCCCTCACATGGGGATAAGCTCCCTGAGGGCTGACCTCTTCCTATCTCCTTAATCCTTCACAAGAAGGCTATGTACAGAGAGTTTAATTAATATTCATTGAGTAAAATTTCCTGTACAATTTGTATGAAAACTAGCCATTTATTTCATTTTGGGATCTCTGAAAAGATCAAGATGGCCCCTTATATTCCCTCCAAGCATTAACTGGTGCATTAAACAGGTGGCCTTCAGAGATAGAAAGGCTGATGATGTTCTTATCAAAATCTTAGCGTTGTGTCTTCAGTTTTGTTCAGTTGTCTGAAGGTTTCCTGAGTAAAACTGGCGCGATGTTACCCACCAAAGTCAAATGCCTTGGAGTTGCTTATATGTGTGCTAAGTATCTCTGTGACTGGGCAAGCCACCTCACCTCACTTTTCCTTGTTTCTTCAGTAGGGAGTTGGGTCAGTTGATTGTTCAAGTCCTTCTGAAAGCTGATGTATCACTTGTGACAGAAGTAACTTCCTTTCCCTTGTGCTATGTATTTTCCACCTCAGAGAAGAGCAGAGATAGATGTCATTGGCTTATACCTTTAAGTTAATTTCTGTGGCAAACCTGTGCGTATTTAAGAATTTCTCGGGCCTTTTGAGATGAGTGTATAAATTGTACTGTGCCCTGTTTGTACATCTTTTACTGAGAAGTATTTTTTCCCCCAAAGATTTATTTATTTATTTGAGAGAGAGCCTAAGCGAGCAGGGGGAGGGGCGGGGGGGGGAGAGAGAGAATCTCAAGCAGACTCCCTGCTGAGTGTGGAACCCGACTTGGGGCTTGATCTCAAGACCCTGAGATCATGACCTGAGCTGAAACCGAGAGTTGGACGCTTAACGGACTAAGCCACCCAGGTGCCCTGAGAAGTATTTTTGTTTTATAAGCTTTTGGGTTGGATGAGGAGTTCCATCCTCATCTACTGGAGTAGTTTCTACTAAAGGACAGTTGCACGTATATATATATATACACACTCAACTTTAGAGTGAAGGATGAGGGCATTTTAGAAATGAAGGTCACTGAAAGAGCAGGTCCGGAATTGATGGTCTCCTGGACGCCTCTGGCTTGAGACTCCTGTTTGCTTTCTTCCTTTGGAAGGCCTGTGTTCTCTCCCTTCTTGTCTCTCCTGCATCTCTACTTTTCCCTCTGAATGAGGCAGGATTAATGAAATCATGTAATCTGGAGCCAGCCTGACGTTTGGATGCAAAGACCAAACTCTGTAGTTGCTAATAGTGTTGATGTTCTATAAACGTACCTACCTGTTGAACGTGAGCTCTAAGGAAGAGCCTGTTGGTATGGCATGATTCTTCTGTTGATATTGTTGTTATTTGCATGCTTTTACGTTTTTTCTGTGTTGTTATTTGCATGTCCTTACTCCTTTTAGTTTCTCATCTGTGTATCAGGCACCCCAGAAGTTATGTCTTGGGATAGCGGTTTTGCGTTTCTTTTCTAAATTCATTTGCCACATTCATTTTGTTTCCTCCCTCCAGTATCTCCAGATGAAATGGCCACTGCTTGATGTCCAGGCGGGGACCCTCCAGAGCAGACAAGCCCTCAAGGATGCCCGCTCTCCGTCGCCGGCACACATTGTCGTAAGTGACCTTACAAAGGCCATTGCTTCCTTTACTGGGGGGAGATGAAGAAAATATTCTTTGTTGATAACAGGCCTTGTTTATCTGTTTTTCTCTCTTTAAAAATATATATTTTTGGAATAGTCTTGGATATGGTTTATATCTAGAAGATAATTTGTTTTCTGCTATTGGACCTCAGTGACTGTTACCCACCCAGAAATTTTCCAGGTCTTCCCACCACCCTTTCCTCCTGGTCTTGGGTTAGTTTAGCCTCGTGGTCTCCAGTTAATGGGGCACTATCACCATGGTTTGGGGGAGACTGGAAGTGGTGCCAAAGCTGTTTAAAAAACACAACCCCCAGATCCTTTTCTGAAAAACTCATTTAGTGGAGGTGAGTTGCAGAAGAGGGAATTAGAAAATTCAAAATGGAAGCGCTGGATTTCAGACTTTCCAGTCCCCTCCCACTCCCATTTATCTTAATTGTTGGAAAGTGACATTCTACATCAGCATCAGCAAATTTTATCTGGGCTGGTTGATTGTAAACAGAGAGTAGAAATGAATTTGGGAAGGCTTAAGTTAAACTTGATCTGTACATCCGTGGCTTTGAGAGCCCGTGGGTTTAACATATGAAACATTTGTTTTAGTAGTGAGGCTACAACATAAAGTGTGTGTCTACATATATTTTTAATGTACTTTTGGATTTTGTAGGCTCTGAAAGTGGAATTTATAAATTAACCTCTTGAGAAGATGGCTCAGCCTTATTAGAATATTCTCTTCCATCTGTTTATATCATGAGCTGGACTTCCTACTTTTGAAATAATTAATGGAAGACACATTTTTATAACGAATCTGTGACAGGTAGAATTATGCAAAGCATGAAATAATTCATGTATTTTTTATTTAAGTAACACAAAATGTTACCCATTAATATATTTTGCCTCGATGTTACTTGTAATTTCTAAAAATGGCAAAATGATTTTCTTAAGCAGAAAAATCTTAAGACGCGTTGTGTCAGATTTCAGGCTAACTGCCACCTTACTTTGTAGCTTATTATAATTGAGTATATATTATTTAATGAATTATGCCTCTGTTATATGAATATTAAATATATATGTATGTGTATATTATTACAAAGTGATTTATTTCCGTTAAACCACATCTTGAGTCATCATGTGTGAAAATGTTCTACAAATTCTTATGTTATAAATGAGGCACGTAGCAAGGTTGACATTTTTCCAGAAGCTTCCTCCTTTCTCCAGCCCCACAGTAACATGGATGCTCATAATTACACATGCTCCTGTAATGTCAAGATTTCAGGGCTGGAAGCGACCTTAGATCATCTCGGCCCAACCTGCTCTCAGAAAAGGAAACAGGCCCAGAGATGCCCTAAGTGAACTGCCCAATGTCACACGCTGAGTTAGTGGCCAGAGCGAGGACGGGACCCAGTTCTTGGCTCCTCTTCCGGGGCCTCATGGCATGTTCCTTCCTAAGGGAGTAGAAAGTAACTTTTCTGTGGCTGGTTCTGTTCTGCGAACTATAAATTGGGTCATCATCAGGGACAGCGTCATAGGTGGTAGGATGTTGTTGGTTTGGGGTTCTGATGCAGGTTTCTCTGAGAAACGTGAATGCCCTATAAAAACCATTTTAGCCATATACAAAGATTTTTAAAAAGTGCAAGAGTTACAGTGTCCTACAGGGTAAAACGAGGAAGCATGTCCTTTTCACTTTTCCTGCCTCCCTGCATTTCCCATTGTGTGTCTAGGCTTTGAAATTTATTTCTCTGCTTTTGGAAATGCTTGGCAGGGCTGCCACATTTTCTTTTTTTTAAGCTACAGAGAAAGGACGTTATCTTTAAAATCTCTTGGAGGCTTTTTTTCTCTTTGAGTGGAGAGAAGGTGCCATTCTTAGAAGTGGTTCAGAGTGGACACGGCCCCTCGTGGGTGCGGATGGAGGTTGCGGGCCCGCTCCGGTGACCATCGCCCAAGGGTGGGAGTGGGGCTTACCCACTCCGAGAGAGGTCCAGATAGCCCCCAGGACCAGTGGTCCCAGTGTAGACCCTAAGTACTTCTTTTCATGTTTAGAAATGAACAATCTGAGGAGATGGGAAGATGTTTTACCCAGATCCAGTGTAGATTTTAGCAGGGGGAGCGCAAGGGGACTTAGGTTCCTTCAACCTCTGCTGTGTAGGAGGTGTGTTTTCCACCACTTGGAGCGCTCGCCACACTTCAGATGGAGACCCTTGTCCCAAGGAGCCACAGCCAGCCGCCTCAACTTTCATGCTTTCTGCTGTGCTCCTGGGGCCTGGGGAGTGGCCACTGCATAGAGGTTCTAGGCTGTGGAGGATGGTGGGCTCTGGGAGCGGGACAGAGGAGAAAAAGCCATCAGCTGGGCTAAAAGGAAGGCAAATTTGTGACGTACTTAATGCTTTGACAACTGAATGGTGTCTGGTTGTATGGATTAGCCCCGTAATTGTGCATTTCGGCAGTCTGCACCTGATGGTAAGGGGTGAGGAGGGGGTGCTGGAGTGGGAGGGGTTGGCAGAGGGACATGGGCAGGTCGGGTGGAAGAAGGGCTGTGATGGTTGACCTCTGCACCCATCCAGTGGTCACACACAGTTTTGGGAACAGAGGAGTCCTACACCTTGGGACTATGAATGGATGATCCCCTTTTCACTGGACATAGGGCAATGCGCCAGCTAAAGTCAGTTTGGCAGGCACAGCGCGTCTGTATTTATCAAGGGCGCATTCTGGATGAGGGCTGAGGTATCATCTGGGTCTGTGTATAGTCTGGGCTGTGTTCAGCTCCGCTGGTGGATGGCAAACTCTGCTCCAGATCCTGGGTTCTTCCTCACGTTTTGTTTTTCATTCTCTTAAAGAAAACGTCGTCACATTGCAGTGTTTCATCAGACATATTTCAAAATAATTGTCTAAGGATTGCTTCCTAATTTCTCTGAAATTTGGGTTTATTGTAATTTCTGGGCCAAGTTATTTCATAATTATTTCTAATGTTTTCTTTTGAAACTCGAGAAGTGTTCAGTGTTTGTCAGTAATCATTAGAGACTATCGCTGTCACCGGTTGCTAAGAAAATAACTTTCTCTAGTACCCATTTGGGGCAGAAATTTTCACATGGGAATTTAAACTAAAGCTTTTTGTCAGAAGATTTTAACCTAGATTTTTTTTCATGTGGTACATGGGTTACCACATTATAAAAAAGTAGACGTGTAGAATAAATATTTTTTTTAAAAGATTTTATTTATTTGACAGAGAGAGACACAGTGAGAGAGGGAACACAAGCAGGAGGAGTGGGAGAGGGAGAAGCAGGCTTCCCACAGAGCAGGGAGCCCGATGCGGGGCTCGATCCCAGGACCCTGGGCCGAAGGCAGACGCTCAATGACTGAGCCACCCAGGTGCCCCAAGAATAAATATTTTTGACAAGTAGAGTTCAATTGATCAAATAATATTTAAATTAAGAAGCAAGCCCCACAAATTTTAGTTACTGTAACTGATACTGCATCTTGTTTATTATAATCCAGCGGTTCCCAATCTGTGTTCAGAAGAGAGAGGAAATTATTCCCCAAGATGCTGTCTTGAATTTTTTTTTTTTTTTTTGGCCAGCCAGAAAATAGGAATTTACGCAAGAGATCCATCTCTCCCTCCCTCTCCTTTGCTTTCCCTCTCCCCCTTCTTCCGCTCCCACACCCCTGAGGAATTCAGGTTCCAGGACCCTCTCCTCTTCCTGGCCTCCCCAGGCCCATTTTTGGATTCACACAACTAGCTCCTAATTCATTCTCTGTGGTGTTTTAAATTTATATTTCTAATTATTTGTGTGCACCCCCCCACCCCCCATGACGGCCACGCAGTGGGGTTGTGCTAAGTGGTGGTACTTGAGTGTTGGCCCACTCGCCTCAGGCAGTCCATAAGCTGTGGGGTTAGGAGCCGCCCTCGCCGGACACCACCCCTGGTGTCTTTGCTATACAAAGACTTTCATTTAATTTCCTTTGTACCCAGCAAAAATAGATTCTGTACCAAAAATGGTGGTATTTTGGTATAGTATGTATCTTACAAGATGGCAAAAGGCTTCAAAAGTTCTTACCATTTTATCTTGGGGGCTTCCTTTTGAAGTCAATGTGGAATTTTACCTTGGGCTGAATTTCTAGTCGTTCCAGGTCTTGTGCGTTTTGTTGTGTAATGAGCATTGAGGTATGGGATAAGAAAGCAGTCTGCATCCTGAGGAGCAAAGCCTGCCAGACTGTGGGGGTGTACTTTTTGTTGTTGTTGTTATTGCTTAAATGCTGAAAGAGGGCAGAAAACTTATGAAATGCAGCGTGATGGGAAAGCTGCAGGCAGGGTCTCTGCTGGCCTGTGTTGAGCATTTTCAAGTAAGTTCAGAGGGCATGGTGAAACTTTTGCTTTTTGTGTCTGAAGAGTTTGGGGGAAGGGGCACCTATTCATAGTTAATAAGAAAAACTGCTTTGAGAGCATCCTATTGGTTTTTAAATACATGTGGATGTTTCGATGGATTATTTGGCGTGGCCTGTATTCTCCTCTGCTCGGCTGGGTGCTTGTGTGCTGGGAGGTTCTGTGCTAGGTGCTGAGGCCCAGCAAAATCATCGCAGCACCCACCTGTGCCAGGTGCCCAGGGGAATAGAGGTCCTGTGACGGTGTGTGACAGGGACATGAGATTTCCACTGAGAAGTTGGTGAGGGTTCCAGGCTGGGACAACCCCCTGAGGAATTGGCATTTAAAATGAGATGTTCAGGGATCAATTAGAGTTAGCCAGATAAAGGGATGAGAGAAGGAAGGGGTAGGAGATGGGAGAACATTACAGGCAGAAGGAAAACCACGTATGAAGTTCCTAAAAGGAAAAAGACCTTGGCTGTGGGAGAAGCAGAAAGTCATCTATGATGGCTGCAGGTCCTGAGGGATGAGGGAGAGTGGCCTGGGGTAGGATATGGTGAGAATTTGGTGTTTGATTCTAACCACGGGGGCAAGCCCATGAGTGGTTTGGCTTGTGTTAAACT